CATGTACCAGATAACCCCCGGAACACTTCCGGTGCCCGAATACTATCATCCTATATATGAATCTTTACCTCTCAACCATTTTGAGACTCCTCGTCATGTGGGTGATCTCATCTGGGACTCCAAACAACATTCGATCACCAAATCACATAACTCATATAATACAAAATCGTCACCGAACGTTAAGCGTGCGGACCCTTCGGGTTCGAGAACTATGTAGACATGACCGAGACATCTCTCCGGTCAATAACCAACAACGGAACCTGGATGCTCATATTGGTTTCCACATATTCTACGAAGATGTTTATCGGTCGTACCTTAATGACAACATACGTTATTCCCTTTGTCATCGGTATGTTACTTGCCCGAGATTCGGTCGTTGGTATCTTCATACCTAGTTCAATCTCGTTACCGGCAAGTCTATTTACTTGTTGCGTAATGTATCATCCCGCAACTAATTCATTAGTCACATTGCTTGCAAGGCTTATTATGATGTGCACTACTGAGAGGGCCCAGAGATACCTCTCCCATACTCGGACTAACAAATCCTAATCTCGATCTATGCCAACCCAACAAACACCTTCGGAGATACCTGTAGAGCATTTTTATAATCACCCAGTTATACATTGTGACGTTTGATAGCACACAAGGTATTCCTGCGGTATCCGGGAGTTGCATAATCTCATAGTCAAAGGAATATGTATATGACATGAAGAACGCAATAGTAATAAAACTTAACGATCATTATGCTAAACTAACGGATGGGTCTTGTCCATCACATCATTCTCCTAGTGATGTGATCCTGTTCATCAAATGACAACACATGTCTATGGTTAGGAAACTTAACCATCTTTGATAACGAGATAGTCTAGTAGAGGCTTACTAGGGACACTGTGCTTTGTCTATGTATCCACATAGGTATCAAGTTTCCGGTTAATATAATTCTAGCATGTATAATAAACATTTATCATGATATAAGGAAATATAAATAACAACTTTATTATTGCCTCTAGGGCATATTTCCTTCACTTCTGTCACTGGGATCGAGCACCGCAAGATTGAACCCAAAGCTAAGCACTTCTCCCATTGCAAGAAAAACCAATCTAGTTGGCCAAACCAAATCGATAATTCAAAGAGACTTGCAAAGATATCAAATCATGCATATAAGAATTCAGAGAAGATTCAAATAATATTCATAGATAAGCTGATCATAAATCCACAATTCATCGGATCTCGGCAAACACACCGCAAAAGAGTATTACATCGGATAGATCTCCAAGAACATCGAGGAGAACATGGTATTGAGAATCAAAGAGAGAGAAGAAACCATCTAGCTACTAGCTATGGACCCGTAGGTCTGAGGTAAACTACTCACGCTTCATCGGAGAGGCAATGGTGTTGATGTAGAAGCCCTCCGTGATCGAATCCCCCTCCGGCAGGACGCCGAAAAAGGCCACTCGATGGGATCTCACGGGTACAGAAGGTTGCGGCGGTGGAAAAGTGTTTTTGTGGCTCTCCTGGTAGGTTTTGGAATATTTGAAAATATATAGGCGGAAGAAATAGGTCGGTGGAGTCAGGAGGGGCCCACAAGGGTGGGGGCGCATCCTACCCCCCTGGGCGCGCCCTTCGACCTTGTGGGTTCCTGGTGGCTTCCTTGACGTGTACTCCAAATCCTCTGCATGTTTTCTGGTCCAAAAAAAAAATCATCACGAAAGTTTCATTTCGTTTGGACTTCCATTTGGTATTGCTTTTATGCGAAACTCTAAAACAAGGAAAAAACAGAAACTGGCACTGGGCTCTAGGTTAATAGATTAGTCTCAAAAATAATATAAAATAGCATATTAATGCATATAAAACATCCAAAACAGATAATATAATAGCATGTTACAATAAAAAAATATAGATACGTTGAAGACGTATCACCTGGCCATGCCTACCTACCGCTTTCGTGATCACCTCTCTAGCGAAACATACACCCGTGGTGGGACCCCCATTACCAAGCTCTTATGTCTGTGTCTTAGCTAATGGGGATAGTGGGTGCACGAATGTAGGTATCGTAAAAAGAATTTAAATAATTTGATAAAAGCGTATGTGGATAACAAACCTATATATTTAGGAAAGTAATTTTAGGTCATTGTGACTTTTTTTCTGGATAAATAAGCGCTACTGGATAAATACTCGTGCGTGTTGCTACAGGATGAAACAATATTTGAAAGAGTGGTGGTATGCAAAAGCGGTAGATTATGGACAATTTTGAAAAGAATAAATAAAAAAGTATAAGGGAAATAGGTTGAGAAAAAATCCCCACATCTGATGAGTTGCATTAATGACCCGGTTTCCAAACTAATTTCACTCGAAAAAAATCCCTATTTAAATGAATGTGATTAATTGCACATATAATTAATTACTCCCTCTGTTTCTAAATATAAGATCTTTTAGATATTCCACTATGAACAACATACATATGTATATAGACGTATTTAAGTGTAGATTCACTTATTTTGTTCCGTATGTAGTCTATATTAAAATCTCTAAAATATTTATATTTAGAAATAAAGGGGGTATTTGACAAATTAATTACATTAATGACTTGATATTCAAATTTAATCGGCTCTTGGACATTAATTTTTTTTTGCACTAATGGCTACATGCAAACAACGACAAGGTACACATACCCTTTTAGCAGTAAAGATTAATTACATTAATAGTTTGATTTGTAAATTAGTTCGGCTCTTGGTTACCAAATTATTTTCACAATAATAGCCATGCGTGAATGACGACGACGTATGCATTTCCTAGAGTTAGGTAAGATGTAGATGCTCTGACGAGCTACTTCATTTGTCTCATAATATAAACGTTTTTGCAAGCTACGTCTTATATTGTGGGATAGAAGGAGTAGTCCTCGGTCCTAAATATAAGACTTTTTAGAAATTTTACTATGGACTACTCCCTCCTTTCGGAATTACTTGTCGCAAAAATGGATGTATCTAGATGTATTTTAGTTCTAGATACATCCATTTCCGAGACAAGTAATTCCGAACGGAGGGAGTACATACAAAGAAAAATGAGTGAGTCTGTAGTCTAAAATACGTCTACATACATCCATATATAGTCCGTATTGAAAATCTCTAAAAAGTCTTGTATTTAGAAACGAAGGGAGTACAGTATAATAAAACAAACACTCAAACACTATTACATTATGGGACTGATGGAGTATAAACTAGCTAGCTGTGGTCCTTTTTGATGATTTTCGTACTAAAAAATGAGATGGATTTGGACATCCCACGGCTTACACTCCGTCGACATGCAAAGGCTCTTGCGCGTAATTGCATGGACAGAAGTACATGACTCTATCTTGTAACTGTGGCCCAAAGCAGCCTAGCCAAATGGGCGTAGTGTGGCGGACGCTCTCCAGAGTCCAGCGGATATCATGGACCACGCCCGTGCCCGCCGGAGAACACCAGCCATTACCGAACAAAAACGCCGCCTCGCCACCGAAAACAAGGTAAAATCACGTCAAAAGAAAAGAAAAGAAACACGCAAAATCCCAGACAAATACCCCATACGAAATCTTCTCCTGCCAGCCAGTAGGCACAAGCCCAGCGCCGAACGGAGCCAAGAACCTTCCTTTCATCAAAACGAAAAACGACGAGCTGCAGGAAAAAAACACCATGAAATTTTAGGATCTCAAAAAAGCCGCGCACAGCCCGCTCTGGTGAGGCTGACGCCTATATAAAACAGTCCACTTCCCCCACTAATCACACTCCCTCCGACTTCCGTTACCAGTTCCGTCCGTCTCCTCCCATTTATTAAGGCGAGAGCCCCTCGCTCGCTCGTCCAGGAAAGGAGGCCAAAGGGAGCGCGGGCGGTTCGTTCAGATCCCGGTCTCGCCATGCCGAGGACAAGGAGGTTGCGCGGCGGATTCCGGCTGGGCCGCAAGCTGCTGACCGCGTGGCGGTGGGCGCTCTGCGGCCGGAGCCGGCGCCGGGGCGGCTACCTCCGCCTCGACACGCCGTGCCCGGTGGAGGGCAGGGAGGCCAAGAAGCTGGCGCCGGTGCTGCGGTGGGGGCGGTCGCTGGCGCGGCTCCTCAGCCTCGGCCGTACGGACCGCGGCCAGCGAACGCTCGGCGGCGGCGGCGGCGACGAGGCGGTGAAGACCCCCAAGGGGCAGGTGGCGGTGTACGTCGGCGGTGGCGGGCCCGGGGAGCCGCTGCGGTACGTGGTGCCGGTGGTGTACTTCAACCACCCCATGTTCGGGGAGCTGCTGAGGGAGGCGGAGGAGGCGTTCGGCTTCCAGCACCCCGGCGGTATCACCATCCCCTGCGCCGCCGCCAAGTTCGAGCGCGCCGCCGCCGTGGCCGCCGGAGGGAAGAAGGGGTTCGCCAGGTGGTAGCATCGGGCCCGTAGGCGTAGGAGTCCCCCGGCCCTAGCTGTGGCCTGATCGCCTCCGCTGCTGCGTGCGGTGGAGGCGAATGGTGACATGGTGTACAGTGCATGTGTGTTTCCATCAGCAAAGGGGCTAATTTTGTTCCATTGATTCATCTTCCTGCCGTTTAACTAGTGGATGGACGCCGTTCTTTTTCTTTTTCCTATGGATTGTGGATGCAAGTTCATCTCAGAATCTCTAAAGTTTCATCGTTTGCTGTTGACAAATCTGACCCTGACGAACTCCGGCGAGCGAGCGAACCGGGCCGACGAATTTCTCTTACGAACGTTCAATTCAAGACCGGAGGATGGTAGTATGAACACAAAAGGTTCTATCGGAGTCGATGCTACGGTCTGCAATGGATTTTGCGGCCATCCCGCCCAGCCTAGAAATTTCTCGCGAGCAAAATGCTACTACCTCCGTCTCGGTGAATAAGTCATTTGCGTAGTTCTATCTAAATATGTATTACATGCGACAAAAAATATATATTTAGAAACTACATTCGTGTAGAAATCTAGTGATATACTTTTCATGACATATAACACATATTTAATTGCTTAAATCGATGACCTGAAACTACGCGAATGACTTATTCACCTAGATGGAGGTAGTACCGACGCCATTGAATTCATGCTTATCTATCTCTGACTAGGGAGTACGGGGAACCGTGCCACTCAGTTACTACTCCTCCCCACCTAGGAAGGTGGGAACGGTACAAACTTACTGTACGAAACCGTACGCCCCCGGCCGGCCGTACCTCGGTCACGCACGCATGATTCGGCGGTTGGTTGGAGCACGCTCCTTTGGCCATGCCACTTTTGCACGCCATTGCCACACTCCCCGCTCGCCCTGCCCGTGCAAGGGGCGGCTCCATAGGCGTGATGCCACAGCTAGCATAGCAGCGGCAACGACAGCCAACGAGCACGGCGTCACTCCGGTCCCGTGCCTTGCACCGTTGTGCCCCGCTTTCGAATCAGTTGTACCGCCCCTGCATCTGCATGGCCGGGGCCTTGGCGCGCCACCGGCGACAGACAGGGACCGCCCGTGCGCGCGCATCCTTTTCTCCGGTGGAATTCCACCGCGACGCCGATGGATTCCGTCCGTTTTACGGGTGGCTTTCCAACTTGCCGCTCTGTCGTCGTGTCCGCGCAGATGGATGAATTCCGCGAGGAGTGGACGCGTTGGATTCAGGTCGCCGTCCCGGGGAGGTGCACTTGCGCCACTGGGCTACGCAAGCCGAGATGGATCCGGGAAATCGCCTGGCTTTGGGCAAAGCTGTGACGGGCGTCGCAGAAACCGTCACATCCTTTCCTTTTCGTTACTCCCGTCCCGGCCTTTCTTTCTTTCTTTCATGTCGACGCCGTCTCTCCCTCCCTCCGCCTGGGCCCTGGGGCCAGCAGCAACCCCGAGCAAGAGCATATCGGCGTTCCCACTACGGAATCGTCTTGTTCTCGAGTTTCTTTCAATGAATTGTCTTTTCTTCAGAGAGAACAGAAATACCACGACAGAGAAACCCGAATTAAAATCTATGGAGCACATAAGGAAGCACAGGTACAACTAGTTAGCTTGGTAATTTCCTCCTGTTCCCTTCTCCTTTGGCGAGGAAGGATCGAGGACAGTGCAACCTGGCCAACACTTCCGAGTAATAATAACAATAACAAAGTTTTTTAATATAATGGATTGCTCTGAATAACAGATGAACTATGCGTGCTTAGGCACCGACGCGGTGAGCTAGCATAGCAACTTGCAAGCACATAAGATTGAGATCCTCGTTACGATTTGTGCACAAGGCAGTCACGGGTCATGAGCCATAAGCCCATGACAGTTGCACTTGCCATTTCCTAGTGAGAAGTACACCTGGACTGTTGCTCGTGGTGTTACCTGGCCCTAGATTGTATCTTTCTGCATTAGGTACAAGATGACAACAGCGAAAGGATGGCGCCACCGCGTGCTTAGTAACTGTCGTTGTTGTCTTCTGCGTAGATCACGTCAAACACAAGCCAGTTTAGAGTACGTTATAATGCAAAGCCCGCCCTCTTAAGTTTGATTGACCAGGCTGGGTAGCACCTGCATGCAGCTGCAGGTATGCAGATGCCACCAGTAGTCAAATCAAAGGGATCAAAGTCTAAATATAGGTTGCTTGGACCGATCGGAGCATATTCAATGCATGCTTGCGTGGTTGCAGTCCATAAGCACGATTCAGTTTCGGTCTGATGTCATGCACGAATTGACCGGCGGGCCGATTATAGAAATATAAAAAAAATCTGTTCTCTTCACTTGGAGTGAGTTGGTGAACTACAAAAGCAAGAAACGATTGGTCGGTTTTACTATGAAGGTGCTAGGAATATCCAGGTAGCATCACGTAACCTTGCTGTGAAATGACAAAAAGTTTGGGACTAGGTGAGCCATGCACGGACTTCTACCGTTTGTCTTTAGTAGGAAGAGACAGGGCCGGGGTTCCTGTCCGCCAAGAAACTGAATTTCAAGTGCATGTTGCGTCAGAACAAGGTCTCTTGTACGTACTGAAGTCGAAGTTGGGCGGAGCGAGGCACATAGGACTGCTGCTTCGTCTGATCTGGACAAACAACTGGATTGCATCTTCCTAAAAAGAAATGACACACAAGAGAGAGCTTTATTTCATTAAAGCTATATAAGACTAGTAATACTCCATCTGATCCATATCAATTGTCGTTGATTTAGTAAATATAAAATTGTACTAAATCAGCGACAATTCATATGGAACAGAGGGAGTGCAATCTTCAGAAACCAACGCCTCAAAATATCAGCAGGCATACGACAAACTAGATCAGAATGGTAAGTTCTCCTGTCAACTTCCGAGGTGCTTCCACAATGCCCGAAATTCCGAGTTCTAAACAAGCTACTGGTCCAGGTCAAAAAAACCGCATTCAAGGTTTTCTCTTTGACGTGTTCAGGGCACAAATCCTATATGACGCTTACTGCGTTGTAATAATCGACCAATCACACAAACCAAGCACAACAACGATGTAAATGGGCAGGCCAACCTTACTACAGTGCATCCTGTTTTCTGACAAGGTTCCTAACCGGCTCTGGTCCTTTTTTTTTGTTTCATATTTTTCTATTGTTTATTTATTGTTTTTCTTTGTTTTTGTTTTTAAAAAGTCTCCCAGTTAAAAAATGCTCTCATTTTTTTTACAAATTTCAAAAATTTCTTCAAAAAAATTCTAGTTAAAAAAGAAAAAATTCAAACAATGTTCATGTTTTGACCTCACAAATTCAGAAAATATTCGAGAATTTTAGAAACATATTTGGAATTTAAAAAGTGCTCCATTAAACAATCCACAAATTCAAAAACATTCAAATTTTCAGAAAATGTTAAGGAACTTTTAAAAAACTGTGTTTTAAAAAAATGTATGAATTTCAAAAAATCCTCAACTTTTCAAATTTTGTTTCCATTTATAAAAGTAATCAAGCATTTTTTTAAAAAATTGGATTTTACAAGGAATGTCTAGCAAATTTAAGATTTATTCATGTTTTAAAAAAATGGTCGAATCTAAAGAAAAGGATTAAAACATGGACGTTGCTATGTGTTGGATTTGATGGATTGAGCGATCGAGCATCACTTTTTATCATTGCAACACTGGTCGTGTTGCGGGAAATTTTTGCAACACGAGTCATGTTGCAGAAATTTTTGCAAGATATATTTTCTGCAACATAGGCCTTGTTTCTGTTTGTTTTGCAACAGAGGTCTTGTTGAAAATTAGTTTTTTTTTGCAACAGAGGTCTCATTGCAAATTTAATTTTTCTGCACCATAGGTCTTGTTGCGGTTTTTGCAACAGAGACATTGTTCTGGAAACTCATCGTAGTGGACAGTAAGCAGCGAGCAGCGGCCACATTTTTTTGTGGCCATGTTGACCGAAAGAAAGAAAGAAAAAGGACCTCTCGTTTGGGACACGCATCGTACAGACGAGCCGGCGGATGCTTGCGTGCGATCCACCGGTATAAGCCAATCGTTTTCCTTAAAACATTAGATTGAACAACTATAGAAGGCGTGGATTGCCACAATACTTCTCTGTTGCATGGAACGACCAATACTAATCGCCCTTGTGCGTCACAGTGCTATCAGACACATTGGGCGTTCAATAGGGGCTCCCCGTTCAGGGGCTCTGCAAAAGAATGTTTGCGTCAATAGAAGCCGAATGTACGGAGCATATCAGATGGCCCGACCCATTTACACCCCTTACTCTGGTTGCATACGGGCACATGCGGTTGGTTCTTTTGAAAAAAAAATAGGTCTACGGGTTTTAGTTGTTTTCCTTCAGGATTTTTTCTTTGATCTTTCGTTTTCCTTTTACATTTCATTTTTATTTTCTTTCTTTATTACTAATTCCTAGCATTTCATGAATACATTTTTGGAAATATCCAAATGTTATTTTGAATAAAAGAACATTGTTTCATTACCTTAACCTTTTTAAAGTTTAACAACGTTTTCCAATTTGGTTGTTCAATTCATAAAATTCATCAACATTTTCTAAATCCAAGATCATTTTATAAATTCATGGGTTTTTGTAAATTTTTCTGTTTTTAATTTTCATGCTTTTAAAAATATTTTAGTCTTACAATTTTTTTTCATCGGTAAAAAATCCAACAACGAGTTCTATTGGATGTAAATCGTAGAACCAAAACCGAAGTGAAGATCAGAACTGCGCTCCACACACAACCCATAGTGACAGATTGTTATTCAATGCCCACATGGGTAGGCCCAAGTAGCGCTCCTACTCTTGAAAGATTCTGACATCATTCAATATAAAGAAAAGCAGGTTGAAAAATCCAGGACCCACACCATTTGCCGATGAGGGTGTGGATATATTGATAGATTGTTGCTAAAATGCCCACATTATAAATACTTTTGAAGGGTGTGCTACGAACTGTGAAGCACATAGTCTAGCCAAGTTTTCGCGTTGTTTAGGTCAGGAGCACCATGGCT